TAGAGAGAGAGTGTGTGTGAGAGAGATAAATATCGAATATAAGAAAGATATTTATTAAAGTTGCATGTAATTATCGGCCCTGTTGTCTGTGTTTCATCATCTACTGGCAACCTTACCCAAGTCTCTCTACAAAATCCAGAATAATACACGATGCTTAATTCCCTCAATTTTTCTTGTTTTGTTTCTTTATTTCCCGACAGACAAACACGGAACAAATCAAAATCACTTCAGAACAGGTCACCGGAGGGTGTCCCGCTACAAATCTACTGTGTTTATAGATGGCATTTCACGGCGCAATGTTTATCTATTCAACAGCGCCCGTCTCCTTTCCTAAGTAAAATGCCTTGAATGACAATGACACAGTGTCAAACGCAGCGAAACGCAACCCTTAATTTGTCCCGTAGACTCATGCCTTTTATCTTGAGGGGCGGTAGTAATTAATGAGAGCGAAAATAATAATAATAAAATAACCGGAATTTGAATTTGAATCGCCAATTACATTTTGTGTGCTGTTTATTGTGAGTCTCTCACTCTATGCTCTTTCCGTTTTACCACTCTCTCATTATCCCGTTCGCACACACACTTCAAGCACATACACAAACAAAAACAAGTACGCACAGACACACACTTATATCTATTGTCTGAGATAGATAGATAGATAGATAGATAGATAGATAGATAGATAGATAGATAGATAGATAGATAGATATGAATTGTTTGATAGATAAATTTGGAGACAGATATTAATTGTTTGATATATATATTATATAAATATATATATATATATATAGATAGATGTGAATTGTTTGATAGATAAATTTGGAGATAGATATAAATTGTTTGAGATATATATATATATATATATATATATATATATATATATATATAGATAGATAGATAGATAGATGTGAATTGTTTGATAGATAAATGTGGAGAGAGATATGAATTGCTTGACATAAATATATATATATATATATATATATATATATATATATATATATATAGATAGATAGATAGATAGATAGATATGAATATACTGAGATAGATATGAATTGCTTGATAGATAAATGTGGAGACAGATATGAATTGATTGTTATATATATATATATATATATATATATATATATATATATATATACACACATACATACATAGATAGATAGATAGATAGATAGATAGATAGATAGATAGATAGATAGATAGATAGATAGATAATGTGTGATGGATATATATATATATATATATATATATATATATATATATATATATATATATATATAAAGAATGATGCTCACCCCTGTACATGTTCAAGAGCCACTTAAGCGGGTTACAGAGCAAGAGGCACAGATTATAGGGATGAAGGTAACGTTTGAGACTACATCGAGGAAGTATCGTCATGGGAGTTGGTTCACAAAGCAGCGGAGCGTGGTAAGAAGTTGCTCGATTGGAACTTAAATCTCAATAATGGAATACAAAATATTTATCAGGAGTTGAAAACATTAAGAGAGATCATTATTTCAACAAAGAGGTAAATACATACTTAAATTCTTGTTCACAATACGGTCCAATAGTGTTATAAAAAACGAGGAGAATTCCAGTAAGATATCTTCAATCATTTCTAAGATGCAACGTTTTAAAGCTTAAATTGTGCATAAATGACCGACTACTACTCAAATGCATAAGTATCTATCTATCTATCTATCTATCTATCTATTATATATATATATATATATATATATATATATATATATATATATATATATATATATATATATATATAAATAAGGCCCTGAACTAGCTATGGACTTTCAATTTTTTAATTGTGTATTGAACACATTTTAAATATAACTGTTTCCCGGACAGGGTAAAAAGTTGTAGTTAATAACAATTATATTCTGTTTGCATATATATATATATATATATATATATATATATATATATATATGTGTGTGTGTGTGTGTGTGTGTGTGTGTGTGTGTGTGTGTGTGTGTGTGCATATATATATATATATATATATATTCTATATTCTGCAGTATATATATATATATATATATATATATATATATATATATATATATATATATATATATATATATATTGTGTCCGTATATATATATATATATATATATATTTATATATACTTGTGTGTTCGCGTGGCGTGTTTATGCGCATGTGTAAGAGGAAATAGATAGATAGATAGATAGATAGATAGATAGATAGATAGATAGATAGATAGATAGATATTTGAATAGAAGTCCTTCTTTTATGCATATTTCGTTAAATATAACGGACAGTGTATATTTTGTCACTTCACTAAATTGGTTGCGTGAATATCTAAATATATATTGAAAGGTGGGGTGATAATATTTAGGATGCATTGTAAAGGCTGTTTCATTAAGATGGATTATCTATAAAGGTGTTTCATTAAGTCGAATCAAAACCAGGAGTAAATAAATCGGATTTATTGGTTAAAATTTATTTATTTTTCTATTGGATCTCG